CCATTCCAATAGGGTTCAATCTCCTCCATTCTTCCATATGCACCTAAGGAATGTTCATATGTGTATTGCTTCCGAAACCTCCTTCGGGAAGGTTGGAGCTTTCGTAACGTCCCTGTTCCAAGTAGAACGGGTACGTTTTCCCAGTGTTATCCATTCTTACTCATTGGGTAGTGCCATAGCAGTAGTAGCTGGTCCTCTTGTGAAGCCCTGGCCTACGCCAAAAAGTAGGGGCGCAGGTGGCTTCCACAAGACATCTTCATCAGGGAGCTGGATCCATCACGTTCAATGTGAAAGAGGGCACCTATCAAATTATGGAGACGAATGTACCTGTTTGCAATCCATTATACATGCAGAAAGAAAGAGAGACTGTGTGTGAGAGAGAGAAAAACAGGCAGAGAAAGGAAAGACACACTGTCCTTTATGAAAACACACACCTTTGTTTCAGTATTCCAGTAATCCCTCCATGTACCTGCTGGTGAAATCAAATGTAAGAGAAAACTGCAAGGCCCCTGTCAAAGCACAAAAAGGTAATTAATTCCATAGTTAAAGCTCAAATGCAGTTTCATACTCTTATGTCAATGTTACGCCTGTGGCCCACGATAATTGTCGCCAAAGTCAGCCACTACCTTTACATCTCCCAGTCAGCGTTTCAAAACGTACTTCAAAAAGTAACTAACTAAAAGTAGGTTAAGAACCTAATGAAATTACTGAATAAGGACTTTTCAAACACTTCTCCCATCTGCCATTGGTCATTTCAACAGACAGTCCCGCCCCCAAACTAACAGTTTGGTTAAACCAATTTTGCTTGGCAACACAATGACCGTGTTCGAATATGTCTACCTTCATACTACATAGTATGTGAAAAACAGTATGGCAAAAGAGTAGTATGTCCGATAGGCTGCAACTGAAAAAGCATACTTCCCTACTATATAATATGTGAAAAACAATATGTGACACAAGAAGTATGTCCAAACTCACTGTACTCATAAAAGAGTAGGCAAAAATACCCAGATGACCTCTTCCAGCAAGATTCTGAAGTGTGCACATGATGG